TGCGTTGAATTTTGAAATTATTTATTGACAAATATTTCCTGAATGGACGTTTTCGAAATTTCGCACACATACGTATTTGCGAATAGAATAAACTACATCCTAGTGTTTATTTTAAAATTTGATATAGATGGTTTTCATTAAATAGACGTTTATGACATATTTTTATTTACCGATCAAACCAGCCATTGCTGAATTTTCATTAGATACTTTCTATGAGTTAAAACGTATAAAATAAAGACAAAATTCAAATTGCACGATTTTAACCCTGCTATTAAAATAATGAACAAGTGATTTAAATGCCCATTTCCGGTTTCCTCGTCTTTATGAAATACTTCATATCTGAGTTTCTAATTAAGGTAGAAACAAAAGCAGATCTGTTTTAGAAAGCTAAATAAACAATCTATCCAATGAACGAATAAAAGAAAATTTTTCTTTTTTTGGCAAAATTGGCCTTTTCAACGTGTTCGAATACCTAATGCATTCATCAGTCATTTGGCCCTTCTACCATTAAGAACGTTACCCAGACTGCACCATACGCAGCGATCGAACGACATTCAAGAGAAAGGAGAGTTGCAATCCCATTAGTGGAAAACCACCATAAACTTTTCGAGTAGACTTTCGGCTCACCATTATTTTTAAAGGCCACACAAACACTATGGACTTATAAGTATCCATCCTTCTCCTGGATTGAAACTCGGACCAAGCAACAAGCCAGCTAGCATCCTTAATTACTGCACCGTAAAAGCGACTCACGTGAAAAAATTAATAGAATGTAGGGGATTACACGCAGTATTTTCATGTGTGCTTATGGTATAGTTATTAGCATATCCATCTAGCGTTTAAAAGATTACGGTCAGTAGTTCTTATTACTAATCACCCTGATCTGAGAAGATCTTGATCAATCCTGATCTGAAATGATCTCGATCAGATCCAGGAATTAATCATGTCCAAGAGGAACAGAGCACCCGTATTTGGTCAAGGGCTTGGCCACTTAGTGACAGTACGACATTGTTCGCCTTCTTTTCAATTTTGACAGAAGACACATACGAAGGAATCCGACATACTCCGCTCTTGTCCGACAGACAAGACTGGCTAAAGAAAAATGTTTATAGACTCTCGGCGACCTCGTGGGAATGTTCAGCTGAACCGTTTTTTAGACGCTCCATGTAACAAACGCGCTGTACGTTTACAAACATCAGTACGTTTTCCAGGATTCGAACTTACATTACACAGCTATCACTGCTGACCACTATACCAAACAAGTTAGCAACCACTATAGCGACTGGAATTAATTCATGTTGAGGGATATGTTTAATTTTTCAAAATTTCTGCCGAAATACAAAGTGTCTAATGACTTTCCGACATCAACGTTATTACAGGAAAAAGTAAAAACTTTTAATGAAATGGATAATAAACATAGTACTAATACATTTTAATTAGATATATTTAAAAAAAAATAAATATAACAATTTTTTAAACCTATGGAAAGTTAAAGGGAAAAGGGAAAAATTATAAAGTCTAAAGAACTTCCCTTAAATTTACATTTTTTCTTTTGAGTAAATTTGAGTATTGTAATAAATACAACAGATCTCCTTGTGAAACAGCCAACAGCTCTTGTCTGTGTATCAAAGATATGATAAGAACTGCGTTTGCTTTCAATAAACAACACCTGGCATAGTTCTCAACCTTCGAATACCTATATCGTGGGAAGAAACAGATAGCGACTTAGAAGATGGATCGAGAAAAGGAAAAGCATTTCATTCTTCAGAGCAAAACTGTTATATTTTCAATGCTATGCATTTTCTGAAACTCGGAATAAAAAGCCGGCGTAAAAACATTTTATTTGTATGGAAATAAAATAGTAATTCTTACAGCAAATGTAAATAACGTGTGAAATTTACACCTAATAATTGAAGCCAACAAAGCATTTCTTAAATTAAAATACAGCGCCACCTATTGTGAAGAGAAAGAAACTCTCACTTGGCCACTGGTTTCGGCTAAGTCAGTGGTCAACAACCTCAACTAAAGAGCCAAAGATCAGCAGCACAACAACTAGTATTTCTTTTGAGAGCCAAATTTCTTTTCAAGTATCACATTTTTTGGAGTCGGTTTAAACTAGCTAGTAACATTAAAAAATACCAGATATCATATTATTAATAATCTTATTTATGGAATATTTTACATTAAAATAAAAATAAGACGAAATAAGCATTTAATGTGAACAATGATATTGAATTTTCTTAGAAAAATACCTTTGGCAAGATAAATAATTTCTGTATGGCGATGCTTTTAATTTCAAGCAGGATCATATCTACTTCAGATGCTTTCTTCATCGTATCATCGGTGGGATATTTATTATCAAATGACACGTGTTTAGTTATGAAGTATCTCTCCAAATTTTATTTCTTGTTATGCACCAATTTTTCTTGACAAAAAAGGCAGGTCGGAAAGCCATTTGATTTTTGTACAAATAAGAAAGATTCGCTCCATTCAATTTTAAATTGACGGTTTTCGTCTTCCGGTTTTCTTTACCTCTTCTTTGCAGCCATGTCAAACAGGTGGCACCAAAGAAAATGTTTCATTTTATAACAATAAAAGCAACAACACACAGTTATAACAAACTTATGAAACTGATGCCAAAAATACCTGTGAGATCTAAAGCTGATTGAAAGAATAAGTAGCTTAATGCGCCAAATAGGTACTCTCGTCGCTCGTGTAAGAATTTTAGGCACACCAGGCACTGGCCACTGTACACTGACAGACAAGTTGCGACTGGCTCGCTCTCTCTTAACTGGTGCATTAGTCGCTAGGGGCGCCCGCCTGCGCTTTAACAAAACAGCGAAATACCCGCTCGCCCGCACGTACTCAAAATTCATTCGTGGCACAGCTGCATTCAAGCAGCTAAAAAGCAGAATACGTCTAGCGAGGCGCGGCTTGCTCTGGCTGCGGGGCTAAAGCAGCATCTAATAGTACTGAATGTAGCAATTACCGTTAATTAAGTTAGTTCTCTTTATTATACTGTCTTCTTATCAAATGATATTCAGTTTTGAGAGATACATTTTCTTTTAGATTTAGGTTCGTAGTGTTCGAAGTCTTTTTTTTTTTTTTTTTTTTTTTATATATGAATGACAGTAAGGACTCACCAATATATCTTAGTAGAGTTTCTACTGCGTTTTGTGCGTTAGGTGTTATTTTTAAATAATAGAATATGCTGAAAAGTATTCTGTTACTAAAATTCCATAGAACGATTCATACTGATGAATAATGGTTGTATAAGAATCCAAGAACTGAAAGTCACATTCCTACTCGCATTTTGTGGGCTATCATATGCATCATTTCATTTCATTTCTTTTTTCTGACAAAGTTGCTCAACAAAAGAAATAAGATGAACTTCAATCCTTTTTGGCACTGTCTCTGGCATTTGATATAAATGATGTAGTTATAAATACTGTGTGTAGGCAGGCCACATCCTGATTTCTTTTATCGCTGTCTTCCTGATGGAAAAGGTGATTTACAACTTCCATGTTCTGGGAAGAATGAAGATAGTCTTCTAATTTAGTTTAGAATTAAAAAACATTATTGCAATTACTTTCCACAAATTGATCAATAACTCAAAATTTCATTCATAAAAGAACTCCATTGGAGGAACTAGAAACGGTATCATAATTAAACTGAAATATCGTTTTCCTTTTGATTCCAAAGTAGCACATACAAAGCCCCAATGAATTAGTAAATTACGTCAATTTCTCTAGATAACATATTAACTTACTGGAAGATGTCTTTAAACAAAAAAATCATTCGAAATGTTGCTTAGATGCCAGACATTATTCATTCAATCTTGTTTTGCATGTCCTAGGTTTTGTTTTTACTAGGGAATTGTTTTATCTTTTCCTAATTTCAACAATTATGAATTCTATAATTATAAAAGCGGCCCTTGAGGGTGCTATCGTGGTGTAACTGGTAGCACATCCGGCTAGGACAGGAAAATAAGTGGTTTGAATCTCACAGTTGATTCATCATATTTCCCACTCCAGAAACACCTAAAGTATACCCGAACTAAATATCTTGCAGGACAATCTCCATGATATTTAGTTGCGAGATTTATGGATGGACTCCATGATAACGAGAAGAATGGATCTGGCCAACTGCATCTCGTTCCTTTTCGTTAGCCGCTTTTAAATCGAGTGAATGTAAGGAATTTTCGTATTTACCAGTACATACTCGCATACTATTATTGATTGTACATTCGGATAGCATTGAAAGATCCGTGGTTCAAATTTTGATAAAGACATAGCTGATTTCTTATGTTCCTTGCACCGAAAAAACTTAGTGTTTCGGCAGAATTATCGTTAATCCAAATCCTAGTTAACCGAGGTTTGTATTATTGAGGTATTATTGGTTTCTGTTATCAGTGTTAGTGTAATCCATAACTTTTCATATAATTTATAAGTTTTATACTATGCCTCTTTGCACACATGGCACATAAAATCTATGCAATATTTCTCATACTAACAATTTAAATATCATTCGAAAAAAAAAACTTTTGTGTATTGACTAACAGGAAATTACTGCTTGTACCGGACTATTACTATATGAAGTAACAGGGGAATATTGAGGAAAAGACCTAAAATTTAACCTTTCTTAAGCCCCTCAGTCAGAAGGTATTTTTAATTTATCACTCTTAATAAAAAAAAATCCAGACAACAATTTTATTTTGCTAAAGCATGAAAGCAGGGTTAAAAGCGACATTATGCGATACAAATTACGGAAAATTTTTACGTCTGTATTTTTTTTTAAACTGGCCGCAATTTTTATGTACATCCGAGTTTTTAGAAACCGAGATGGCATCGATACACATCTTTTTTTTCCTAACTGGTTCTTTCTTTCATTAAGTAAATCAAATTCTCCTAAGTAAGGCTTGTATTTTAGCAATTACAAATAATCAAAAACACTGCATATCATTTTCCCCTTATATATAATCAATATCATTTTTTCCTTAGGCCGACGATGCAATGAACCTGGAGCCAAACTGGACTATTATGGTGGCAAGTATTTGCGCTATTGCCCATGCCAAGATGGATTGGAATGTGCAGCTAAACGAAAGAAAGTAAGGTTCCTTAACTATAGCTTTATTATGTTATAATTAATTTATATATTCTTGTATTATTCTTTCCATTCAAAAATTATACTTAAGAGCAAAAAATATATTTCATTGGTAGTCATCTATAACTAAATGTATTTTACAGCTTATTCGAATTTACCGACATAAATAATAAGATGTAACGTAACTCTTGCGTGAATTTCAGCAATAAAAGTTGCAATGAGTCCTTTTTAAATTGAAAATAATTAAAAGATTGCCATTAACTGCAAACACACACTTAAAGAAATTGTGCACTTTAAATTAAGCTTAAGATAGTTGTTTTTGTTTAATTTTTTTTTTTTAAATACACGCATTCTGCCAATCTTTCAACTCTAGATTTCTTTTGAACAAGATTGTTTAAAATGTCGTATTAAGGATATTTAGTGAATATTCCTATTACTGATTACAAGTAAATGCATATATAAATGTACCCCATACATATAAAATACATATAAAATGTACCCCATACATACCCCATACATATGAAATAAATAAAAATAATAAATGAAATTCAAAATATTTCTGGGTATTAGGCATAAAACTATGTTCATTTGAGCTTGCTTATTTTTCTGTTAAAAGAAAAGATGGGGAAATTAGAACCGTGTGCAAATGGGTTTATATTTACCATTTTACAAAGCACCATTTCAATGGATTCTGCTAGAGAGCATTTCAACGGATTCAATTGCATATTTCCAACGGAGGTTTTTTAAAGTTTTTATACATTTTTTTATATATTTTTTTCATATTTCAAAACAGCTATTAAGTTATTGCTTACCAATGCTATGCCATTGGTGGGATCTTTTCACTGTCGATTTTAGTGTTGTAGGTTTTCTGAGCGTAAAGAACAGAATGTAGGTACGCATAAAAATTAACTTTTGAGTAAATGTATCAATGAAATTTGATGTACGGTATTTTATTTAATAAAAACTGAAAAACCGAAAAAAATATGGAAAAAAGCATAAGAATCTTAGTTTAAAATTTACAATAACTGTTAATTGGATAATTAATAATGCAATCCATAATAGCACTTTGTTTTTGCGCAATAAAATTCATTCTTTTCAAACCGAGCGTTTCTTAGGAAATCATTTGCATTAGTATCTCTCGATGCCCTTATTTATGATATTTGTAAACCTATTTTTTTCTATAGTACACTGCAGAACAATTATCTGATACTTAACATGGCGATTATCAATATGAGAATTAAAACTAATACAAACTGAATTGTTAGCATTAAGTGTTGATTTAAATGCTGGCAAACCTTCGAGGGAGGGAAATCCTGTAACTAACCTGAAACTTAAATAATATTATTCTAAAACAGATTAAAAATACGCTTTCCCGTAAAGAGGAAGATATATTTAAAGAGAACAGGATCAGCGTGAGAGACGATGCAACCAGTACAGCCGCTTAGGATGGTAGAATTTAGAGGCGAACTAATTCTAGGACACATAATAATAATTTATGAATGACAAAGCTATAATAATAATGATAAAAATTATAATATTTTATGAATAATAATAATAATGAATAATGCAATTTATGAATGACATAATTTATGAATAATAATTAATAATATGAATAATAATTTATGAATAATAATGATGATAATAATTTTTGAACAATAATTTATGAGTGACAAATAGTGCATTGAGGGCAAAAAGACCTAGCACTGGCCTGATATGGTGAGAAAATAAGAAATAATTAATACAGGTACATTTCATAGAATGAAGTATGGGAGATATTTTCATAGAATGAAGTATGGGTAAGTTTTACTTCTCCTAAGTTATTGCATTAAGCTGCAATGAATCATTCAAAATATGCAGCATTCAATACAAGATATTCAAATAAATTTCTGCATTGCAATGATCATTTAAAATATAGTGTTGAAAATAAAGTTTTGCATTGCACTGAATGAAGGTAGTTACTAAACTAATTGAAAATAAATAAAAATGCAAAACACAGTAATTTTCTGTTTGCATTTAATTCTTTAAAATGATTATAAATGGTGGTAATTTCAAATGGAATATAGTTTTGTAAACCAAGGAATTGATGACCTTATCTCAAATAGAGAAAATTATTTCTGATATTCTTATCTAATTTAAATTTCAAGAGAAGAGTGATACTTTCTTAAGAAAAAATTATGAGAAATAAACATTAAATTATTTTCAAGTATGATTACTCTTTTAAAATAAGAAACAGCAGATAAATGCGTTGACATTACAAAATGAAAGTAGCAGAATTTTGCTTGTGTAAAATGAAAAAAAAAATGCAGGATGAATAATAAATACTAGGATTGGAATTACAAAATTATCTATGTCATTGTCTAATTACATGTGTTATTTCCACAGGTAAAGACTATCAGTGCTGTGCCAGTTATGATATGCCAGAAACCAGCAGCGACAACAGTACAACCTCCAAAAACTGAAGAACCTGAAGGCAGAATAACTGACGTTGAAGTAGAAGTCACCACAAATATTGATGAGATCGTGAAAGAGACTGAGGAAACTACAGTACCTGACGAAACCGGAGACGAAACTGGAGATCAAGGAACAGGTGATGAGACTGGAGATGAAGGAACTGGCGATGAAACCGGAGGCGAAGGAACTGGTGATGAAACTCCTGATGAGGGAATCGATGATGAGCTAGAAGGCCCTGGAGGCGAACCTCCCAGAGATGATGACTGTGAAGACTGGGAACTGCCTTGTTAATATCTCATTTATATAATGACTTGGGTATCATAACATTTCACATTAATACATTAATTTATCTATATAAGCCTTGTAATCTCTGTTACATAAAAAGAATTTTAACATCATATGTAAGGTTTTAATAAAATCCATAGCGTAAAAGTTCTATTCGGACACATTATAGAAGGTTAACCTTAAATACTTTCATCACTATACTGATTTCTGTCGTCATTTCACCTCCCTTTAATTATTCAAAACAGTGCATGAAAAACATGAAATCGAAAATATATTTGAAATCATTTTAAAATAATGTTTGCAATATTTAATGCAGCTCAAGAACTTTAAGTCCAAATGTGTTTCATTAGAATTGCGTTAAAGTGGTTCTTTGTTTAAAATTTTAAGCGGCGATAAAAATCTCCAAAAACACATATGGATTTCTTCCTGCGTACACACAAAAGAGTACTTAGAGTAAAAATACATATCTATAAATGGACGGAAAGGATGGTAGTAGAAATTTTGATTCAAATTTTTATTGATCATTCCAAAGCATTTTATTATTATAAATAAGAAGACGTGCTTATCTAAAAGTTCTATCAGAAACGCTAAGCTCATATCCAAATTACTCTTTTCTCATTATGAGAAATAATTAATTAGACCTCAGTTTTCTCTTAGACAAATACTGAAACAACATCAGGCTTACGATTTAGCAATCTGATGTGAATGAACAATGATTATTTTTTTATTTTTTTATACTGTTAGTTGTAAAAATTGCACATCCTAAAAGAACACTGAGAACAGAAGGCAAATTTCAAAATGGTTACGTGTTAATGAATTAAAAAAAGTAGAACTGCAGCACAAATACAGATTTACTATGCCAATCCAGCCCCTCCGAATATGTCCTGGTAGAATTAGAATAAAATTTGGAATAATTAAATATGCAATAATTTCACTTTATTTCACAGATTTGTACACGGCTTAAACATTTATGCGCAGGAGACGGTAGCACAGATGTCAGTTCCCTAATTGCGCAGAAAGTAGTTGTTGCACTGATATAAGCTTTTATTCCACTAAATTTCAGGTTCTATTTTACGAAATTTAAACACCGGGATAAATATGGAGCTTGCAAAAATAACATGCAAGGAAGGAACGTTAGGAAAATAAAAACAGATGAAATTTTGAACGAATTTAGAATTTTTCCAAAACAACCACATCTACGGAAGTGGGGCCAATTCATTCTGGAAGCACCTACTAAGAGGGCCACCGTTACTTCTTACGAAGGAATAGACAATTACAGCCGCGCCTTCTGCGAGATTCGAACCCAAACCCTTCGGTATCGCAGTAGGCGACCTTATCCACTGTGCCGTCTGCGCGTCTTATTTAAAACTATTAACTATACTTTTTTGCATGCAATGAATACCTATAGTTTTTTAAAATAAGGTACAATAAATTAAAAAATTTGAATTCTTTTATTTCACTAAACATGTATTTGGTTTAAGGAAGAAAAGATAACCCAGTTATCTGGATTTCTCAAGTATCCCGATGGATTCTATTTCCAAGTAGAGAGCCTGATAAGAGATTTAGTTGACATCAGTTATTAATTAATTGCAGAAAGGTACCATAGTAAGAGATGTATCTGAATGATAAGAAATAACGAGATCCAATGAATTATGATTTAATTCAAGATAGGGTAAGATTTTTTTTCTTTTAAGTTAAAAAGTATCTTTGAATATAAATTAGCATCTTACTCTATGTTTGATTTATTTCACACAATTTACCGGTTATGCTACGAGATTCAGGTCATTATTTTAATTTTCCCACTTAATTAATTTCTATTTGTAGAATAAAGTAATGGCTTATTTAAATTTTCCTTATTAAATTACTATTACAAGTACCGAAGCCTTTTGAATAAAAGATTAGAAAAAATTTATTCCGAGATTCAGCTTGCGACTGATGCGTAAGTATTCACTTCAAGAGTCCTTCAAAAACTTTGAAATCCTGGCAAAGGAATTAAGTTGATTACCCGAAAATTCTTTACTAAAACATGAAATGCACTGAGTGAAATCCCCTTTTCCATTAATCTAATAATGCTTAAATTTCCGATGTTGAAAATTTAAACCTTATACTATAATGCTTCGCAAGAGAGATTAAAATCTAACGAACAGTAATAATTTTGTATCTATACTTGATGCTACTGAGAAATTTCATTAGTAAATTTAAGATGTTTCATCTTTATTGATTTGTCTACTCAAGCGTTCCTGAAAATGTCTTAAAAACATGTTTTAAACACGAAATAGTAATTTAAACACTTCTGTTACATAAATTTAGAAGTTAAATTCGAAACTAAAATTAGATGGAAAAGAACGTTAATTCAAGATATCAAGTGCGAAATTAGAGCAAGACAGTTTCATTTTTCAAAATATACCAGATTATTAACTTTTAAAACAAGTCATTGATTTGTAAGTACTACGCTATAAGTTATTTTTATGTACTATTTATTTTAACTAACGAGCTTTAATGGCTGTTATTCTAAGGATCTCTTATCTCTTACGCACTGAGCTATCTGTTATCATATATGCAAAATGACACAACATTTAAAGCGGTAGCAGACATTTAACCTAACAGCAATCAGCCTACAGCACATTTAACGACATGTCCATTTAATCGATATGGAGAGTTAGCCGACAGGGCATGTAACCGACACAGACATTTAGCACACAGGACGTTTAACAAACAAGCTGTTTAACCAACAGCATGACAGGCGTACATATAGACAAAACAAAAAGACAATATTTTAGTAAAATTTCTTCATGTTCATCTCAAAAAATATCTGATGTGGACTTCCTTGTACGGGCTATTAAATTATGCACAATTTTTTTTGTTGCATTTCATTTAAACTTATTCCCCCGAATTTCATTTACAGATATATTCAACCAATTCAGCTGGCACTTCGCCGCAAGGAAAAACTATAAAAATATTCAAGACATCTTCATTAAAAATTGTAAAATGCAGAAAAATCTAAAACACCCGATAGAGTTAAAAACCGTTAAAAATAATTTTCAAAGTTAAAATCAGAGTTTAAATTAATTAGAATTAGGCAGAAAGACAGATATTTTTCGGCGCACAAAACTTTTGACCCCCACTAGGCAAAACGATGCTGAAGACTGTGTAGAAACTAACTTAGTTCATTATGCTACTGAGTTTCAAATGTAAACAAATAGTGGCGTCGTTAGGCTTAGTGGAACTTAAAGAAGGTTTAAATTGTTCATAATTTAAAAACTATTGCAGGGAGATTAACTAAAGGCACAAGAACCTTAACCGGAACATAAGAACAATGTCATTCAGTCACTTTTAAAGCAAAAAATCTACAGTTTACCATCACATAACAATAAAAAGGACTGAGTTCACCGAGCCGAGTAACAGAGTGAGTATATACATATATATATAAATATATACTCTTGGTGCGGACGATTTAAACCAAAAAGAGAGGTGCATAACTAAATGTTATAGCAGTCGTACATACAAAATTTCAAAGGTCTGAGGCTACTCGTTTTTGAATTATATGAGATACGTCGTACATATATATGTACGTAGAGACGTCACGAAAACCTCACTTCTGAATACATTTTAAATCCATTTTATAATCAGTTTTGGAAAAATAGTCCTTTATTATGTCCTTACGTATAGATGTCACACAAAAACATCGCTAAATTACGTTCGATAGCGGTCAAAATGGAAATTCCTGTTGTAATATGATATCCAAAATTGTTCGGGATTACAATACTTCCTTTACTTGCACAAGGATGTAAAAAGGCTCTTTACAGGTTAGCTAACGAGAAGGTTTATGAACTAGTACCACATTTTTAACCTTATTTAATGTTAAAGAAATTATAAACTTTAAAGTGGGACACAAAAGAAACCTTATTTTGGCGTAGATTTTGAAATCAACTTCGAGAGCTCAGGCATAGGTCTTTATAATTCAGAAAAAGGAAAGAAAATTTCAACAGTCATAAGAATGAAACGATCAAATTATACGCATTTTTCCTGCATTTCATTTAAACTTATTGAATTGAATAAAATCTACTTCGTCGAAAGCGCATAAACCACAATAGAATAAATGCATTCTTTAAAATTCACTATATTTATTAACCATAGCGACACTCTGGCGCTAGATTCACTTAACAGCATTACATCTCATTTCATTTTATAACTCAGAATGTGCAAAAATTATATCATCCGAAGAATAATCTAATTGTTGCCATATGTTCTATTCAAATACTATAATAAATCTTAAACGATGCATAAAAGAAATTAGGCAAATAAAAAAGTAACAGTTGTTGTTGTGATGCCTAGTTTCTTTAGATTGACAATAAATCCACTATTCTCATAAGTTTCAAATGTAAACAAATACAGCTGCTACGGTAAGAAAGATTAGGCTTACCCACACCTAAACAAGTTATCGATAATCCTACAAATATTGTATGTAGGTTAACTAAAGGCATAAAAACCTTAGCCAGAAGATACGAACAGCATAATTAATCATTTTTAAAGCAAAAATAGCACAATTTACGAACATATAAGATATAAAAACTGAGCTCACGGAGCTGAATGACAGAGTGGGTATATGTATACTTACTTTTCGTGCAGCCGATTGCCACTAAAAGAGAGGTGCACAACTACATCCTATAGCTGTCCTATATAGAAAATTTCAACGTTCCGAGGCTACTCGATTTTGAATTATGCGAGGTACATACATACATATGTACGTACGTACAGACGCCACGAAAAAATTCTCTTCTGAATCCATTTTACATCACTTTTATAATTTTTCTGGGGAAAATTACTCTTTCACTCAGTCCATGCGTACAGATGTCATGCAAAAAAAAAAAAAAAAAAAAAAAAAAAAAAAGTACATTTTTTAGAAGTAAGGGAGAAACCTGGTAGTTTTTCCAAAAGACATTTATTATAAAATCAAATCATTCAATACTCACCTAAAATCGAATCAAAAGGAGACATAATAAAAAGCTATAGTTTTATAAATATAATACAAATAAAAAGTTTTTTTATTATACCTTTATATTTGCTTTGTAACCATCTTAGCCAGATACCGCCCATTTGAAACTAATGGGCGGTATCTGGCTAAGATGGTTACAAAGCAGATACCACCCGCATGCCATTGCCGGCAGATTATCGGCTTCTGCAGAGAAGCTGTTATGATCTGAGAGCAGAATGAAATACTGTATTTCCTAAAGTATTTTTCTCCTCGCGTAATTTTTCCGTTGGCATTTTCACATATGATTCTGAAATCTTTTAAGTATTCACGTAATGCTCAACTTCTTCAAAGGTTTCAGAAAAGATCTCCCCTAAATTTTAAAATGCATTCTTCCATGTAGTAGAGTTTTCTTTCATCTTGCTAATTGATATGCTGGTGGGTTTGGGATGCTTGGTCTTTGTTTAAAGTTTTAAGAAACACTGATATCTAATGTTTTTTATGATTCTGAAGATCAAGACATAGAACCTCTGGAAGGCGAAGCTGCTACGGAGATCTCTCACTTTTCTGAACTTAGCTGAACTAAACATCAACAACTGAACATTTGATGCTCTAGACTAGAAGAGAAACACGCTAATGTAACAATCAAAATCGTAAAAACAACCTTGTATTTAGCCTAAGTATATTGAAACTCAGTGTTTCAGTATACTTACGCTAAATACAAGATTGTTTTTACGATTTTAATTGATGCTCTCTCTGGTCTTACATAGATTTCCCCGAGAAATCTCTAGTCCCTTTCACTTTTCAAAATTGCTGGAAGATAATGCAATGTAATATATGAGTGTACTGCAACAATCCTGGCTGGTAATATGTATGGAATTATTTTTTTCAAAACAGTTTTACATTTTTTTGTTCGAATTGCACATATCACTGAAAGCATTTTAAGCTAAAATGGACGTGCTGGCTAAATGTCAGTTGCGGAAAACTCTAAATGTCTCTTGCTGTTGGCTAAGCGGCACGACCAAAATAGCTACGGTTGGTTTACCGTGGGTCTTCTAGGTATTATGTTGCGTATTTTTCTTCCGCTCTGAGAATAAAGGCTATTAACGAAAATACCAACATTTTAAGACATTTCACTGGCAAAAGTAACATATTAAAATATTTTAAAGAATCAAAATAACAATTAAGGAATTTTTTAATATTTTGATTGAAAATGAAAATTAAGACGATTAACAAAGCTTTTAATTAAAAAAATAAATAGAAGCGATATAAGAAATGAATATTTTTTGTTGGAATTTAAGCATAATGAAGTATTATAATACACGGTGCTTTTACCGCATTGTATAACCTTAATTTAAAAAGTGAGTTTTTAACAAAATTAATAAATGTTTTTAACGTCAAATTTTGGTCAATAGATAAATTTCGGTTTTAATTTATCAAACCAAAAATGCATTAATGAAATTAGTATTTTATTCGCTGAACATTATTTCCATTGCACAGATTCTTGATCTTTAAATTTAAATCATGCAGTTATTCACTGTATGGTATAAATGAATATTATATCTTTGGATAAGTTATTGAAGCAAGTAAACGTAACTTAAATCGCATAAAAGAATCATAGTTTTTTAGAAAAATGGTTAAGGAAGTAATACTATTTTCCAGAAGCATCAGATTTCTATAGTTTTAAACAATTATTTTGCTTGCGTAAATGATTGTTTCAGGCTTTACTTCTTATATCAGGTTTTTGATAAAATTCTGCGTTCTTTTTTAACCTTCCAAAGGTTTTTCGAGATTCTTTTCCTCGTAAAATACCAAAGTGTCCTCTAATTCGTGAGAGTGAATCTAGCCTTCGAATCTAAATTTTTAATGCATTATTCTATCACACGCACAACTTACGTGTGAAGAAATAGAAGCTGATAATGAGTACAAATTTCGTATTTACCAATATCGAAAACAAATTTCGTATGCGAGGAAATGCATAACTCTGATATATAAAGCGAATGTAAAAACGTAGGCATACTTCACAATTTTGAATTTGTTTACCTTGCTGGTTTTCTTCGAAGACGTGGAAAACTAAAATGAAGCTCGTGTGTGCCACATTTTTCCTTCTGGCCTGTTTGGTAATGTAGCATTTAGATTTTGCTATTTGTTCTTTTTGTAAATTTAAACTTAATAAGCTTATAGTTATTTCCTTTTGCATTATATTTCGAAATAAAGAAAATTAATTTGAAAGATTTTCATGAGGACTACTGATTATTAGGTATACATATGTATTTCATATTATAACAGCTAAACAAATTTTGCTTTCTTATAAATTCGTTTAAGATTGTGGTCTCTTTGTGGAAATGAGATTTAACCAATAGCAGACATCAAATTATATCTTTGAATGTTTTATGTTTGCAACTTTCAATTATAACAAAGCATTAGGATTTTAAAATAAATTTCATTTTTTTAATAGCAACAAGTTTAAAATATTTCAATTTAATAGGTTCAAATGTACAGACGAAATATTCTAAAAATGGGAAAAATGCGCTCTATTTCTCGTTTTGATAATTAAAGCTATAGAAATTGCATAAAAAATATATTATTATTGCAAATTTAATGCCGTAAATAGTATAAATGGAAATAAAGCGGAACAAGATGATAAAAAATGAACGGACGAAAAAACATTTTTCCCATAGCTTCAGGTAAACAAATCAACTATTAGTTTGCATAAATTAGGAAATTAGACAGAAAGAGATAATTCTCGTCTAACTTAGAAATAATGAACTGTATGTTTGAAGCATTAGCTAAGCAAATATCATATATTCACAGTTGTTTCCTATTTACATGTGTCGACTTTGAGAGTAACTAAAGAAATCACTTAATACTTATGACAAATCAAGCAAAATTACTGTCCAAGGAGAGGGATGTCTTTGATGAGGGTTTGGTAAAGGAAAAGGCAACGCATCACTTTAAACAAAGAGAAAACGTGAACTCTTATGCTAGGAGTTAGTTCGGTGCACGGGAACTGAACATCTTGGACTGAAATGTACTGTCTCATTGGCTCGGACCAATGGTCACTGGCAGATCGAATAAAGCGCGAAATGATAGAGGAAATTTAAAAACAAAATTCTATATAAAGCCCTATTTCATTTTTAATTCGAAAAAATGAGTTATGATAATTCCTCGTATCACAAAATTCACCTAAATTTGGCTTAACTTGGAAAACGTTTGACTTAATTTGTCTAAACAAGATTATGTTGAAGCACAATATCTATGATATTTTGCACAATATCTATGATACTTAAATATCATAGATATTTTGCTTCCACTTCGAGCGAATATATGAGCTAATGTAGCACAGAAGCTCTGCGCTAAGGTAAGGATCTCTGAAGGCTCTGCGCTTTCAGAGACAGATAGTTTTCAAATGTTTTATCTAATAGGCCTATTACTTCAACTAAACTGTAAATGATAAGTTTTAATTGAAAAGACTTGTAAGGTACTTATTTTCGAGAAATTTGGAGCAGACACACCTTACAGACAAACGAAATAAAAGACCAGTAAGCGTAATTTTTCCATTGAATGTAAGATGTATTATATCATGTTCGTACAGGACGAAATACCTTAGGACAAAAGGTAGGTTTGGTTTGGTTTATTTGATTACGGTAAAGCACTCGAGGGACGAAATGGCATACTACGTATTGGATTTTCTTATAACGTTAGGAAAGATTTACACATGTAAGAAAGCGTAGATATTTAGAATTTCTTTCCTCATGCAAAAGCTTAAGGATTTTGATATAACATATCTCTTTAATGTAAAACAAAATAAATCCGCTGAGGTTATAATGATAATAAGCACATGAAAGAAGTATATGTCTTTAGAACCATTTACAAATTTTCTGACTGAATCAAATTTGCATGTGGAACATATCAAAAATTGTTTTCCTTATAACCTAAAGTTTGTTTCCTAATAGGATAAATAATAGAAAAGCTCTTGTATCAAGTTGTTTCAATATGGAAAAGCCTGACAGTTATCTGCCTAAAGAAAAATGTTTTTGAGGAGTACTTTTAAAAGCATGAAAACACAATATGAGAAAAATACGAAGGCAAGCAACCAGTTTGAATGGGTTTGGACCCAAACCAGATAGAACTACTTGTATTCAGTGGTATTAACTTCTCTGCCACTGATGGAACGAGAAGCTAATAGAATAAAATTCTACAGTGAAAATTGCAAGGAGTTATATTTCGAACGGCATATTATAGAAATTATCTGTTATCAATAAGACATATATCGAAACTAACATGAATAAAGATATTTTAAAGCCGTTTATTAAAATAAATCTGAGTTAATTTAACTGTATCGGATATTTTTTGGAATTTTGCATCTGCAATTTATCTGAAGAATGGGTAAAAACCAATTTACCCAAAAACTAAAGTTTTAAATTACGATGGTACAAGAAGAGAGCTACGACAGACTCTGATTCCGTTGATTCTGGTTCAGATTGTGAAGTTAGATTCTCAGTATGTAAATACTTGCTTCGAAATTGTAGTCAAAAGGATTTAGACTGAGTTGCCTGTGCAAGAATGGATCTACAAATTACCTCAAAGTAGAGATGTCTACTCCAGATTATACACCTAACTCAGATTAACATAACTCTCAACACATCCCATAATACGATTTAATTTTAAGAAAAAACCAGAATACATAATCAGCGAGTATATGCATTTTGTTTCATAGATAAATGTGTTAGATGATAAAAGAACAAAACATTAGTATGAAATTTCATATCGTAATAAAATAACTAACTCGTACATTCTTTGGCCCTTACTGAATGGCGATTAGAGGAGGCTGACTACGCATGTCTGTGAATCCAATTCGTATCTCTCGAATAAGAAATGGATGCTCGTGACTGCAGTCCTTTGGAATTTAAAACACACTTTCCGTCCGTCTGCCTAAAAATTCTCTGAAGGAATATAGGAAGACAAATACACTTTTATCCTCTCTATACGTGTTCTTGGCAAACTGAGCCGTCTTGTGCTTTGCTTAATATAAGTATTTATATCCAGTTCTAAATTATTTTAATTAAAGAACGTTTGTTTGTAAAAAATCCATCTATTGCTCTACATAATCATAAAATATTTAAATTAAAGACAGTGTCTAAAGAGGAAACGAAGTGGCCCTTTCTTTTTTGCAAAAATTAAATTCTATATTAAACAGTCAGAAAACTATGAAAAAGATAAGTATTATATGTATGAGATTGGTTTTAATAATCAATCTATGAAACAATAATTCATAAAATTATTCTACTTACTTTTCTCCTTTATAAGAATTTTTTTTTTAAATTTGTAGGCTGAAAAAAATATAATTTAAAATAACTTGACATATTGAAAGTAACAGAGCCTATAAGGTCAATGAAAGCTTTTATCTTCAAAGAGTTAAGTTCAGGATTACTGACAGAACTGGCTGCACGAGATATTTTTTTTCATTTGCTGCTTTATAACTTTCGTACAAGTTAATCGCTCTCAGAAAATCCTTCATAAGTATATATTTTTTATCATTCGAATGCTTAATTTTATTGAAAAAAACCCTAGAGTAAGAAAAAGATTCAGTTTGAATAAAATGTGGAACAGCATCTGTTCTGAAAAAATAAATTGTTTTACGATTTCCACCACAATCTCTTCATTTATTTTGACGATATTTATAACTGACTTACAATTCGTCAGTAATTACATAATTTATTAATAATTGTAATAATTAGATTCATAATAGTTAATAATGGAAGCAATAATAATATCAATAGAAAAATAAGTTTAAACACTCTCTCTGAGCGGACACATTAATCACTCTATTTCATTCTTTTGTTTCAATTCAAGGAACATAAATTTTAATATTTCATAAGGAGAATGCAGTGTCCATATTCAACCATTTTAAGTCGTTTGCTTTAATTTAAATTAGTTGAAAAATGTTAGAGAACAATCTTCGAGAAAATCCTCATTTTTTTTCTGAACCTAATAATAGTGAGATGTTCTAGAAACATAAGGAATTTTTAACAGACAAAATAAAAAAAATATCCAGGAAATGTGTTACTATTGCAAACAGTTTTTCTGACTAAAATCTTTGCGGTCATCAACGATTCAAAGAGACAGGAGAAACAAATACCAGCATAAAATATATTTTAGAAATTGAGGCGATGGATATTTGAATACCACAACATACCAAATTAATGTTTTCAAAAATTTAAATTTCTGATGATAAAATATATTTATGCAATAAAGAAAAGAAAGGTTTTCACAGTTCATTTGCAATTAAGTGCAGCGAATAAAAACATCCTTCAAGCAGAAGACACATAAAAATATCTGTGTAATAATGTTAACAACTCTTAAGATATGACATAACGACGAAATCGTAAACATACTAACTGTCCACAAAAACATAAAAAAACTTTTAGTTTCAAATTAATATAAGAGTATTTTGTATTATTTAAATATTTAGATTCTAGTATAAAACTTTAAATAGAAGTAAACATTCCAAACTCATTTTTAATTTTATTACAATTACTATCGCGGTCCATAAAATTATTATAAATACGCAAAGAAAAATTTTACTTTTTTAATAAATAATTTTTCATAAAATGTAAGCAAAACACATGTAAATGAGATATTTATACAGTATTATATAAATAAGAAAACTATTTTATCTCAAATACATCAAAGATCCAAAACCAGAGCTAACTGATTCATGAAATGATATTTAAGCATCTGGTTCTTCTATTAATAATAATTAGTTAAAGCATGTTCCTATATAAATTTTTGTTCCTGAAGAAAGAAAAAATAATTCTTGGCACTTAAAGTCGAGGAATGTTTCCTAACCACGTAACATCTTATTTCTTAAAATAACAAGAAATATTTAGTCGTTGATATATAATGATATTTTTTACTTCTGTACGTGAATAAATTTGCTGATAAAAGGTATGTTGTTAGAAAACTGATTTCGTTTTCATTTAAAAATATCAATATTGCAGTCATTTGTTTTATTTACATACGTTCTCATAAAAATTAGACACAAAAGATATCACTTGCAAAGAATATAAATAAGAATATTGCAAGAATATTGCAAAGAATATAAATGCAACCTTTCGGTGCAAACAAGTCCTTAAAATGACCATCTATGAAAGTGACTGTAATTTACGGAAGCATAATACAAATTACTCCTCTAAGGTTGTCATTTTATAAGGTAATTTCTCCCTCCTTTCTGCATGCCTTCGTTGTGTAACGGTAGCACACTCGGCGAGTATTGTGGAGGTCGAGGTTCGAGTCCCGGCGATGGCATTAATCATTTTTCACATCTCCTGCTTCAAAAACATCTAACGCCTCTACAGTGGCGGCCGAACTAAAAGGTGGTGGATGATTATTCTTAACCACCAGAATTTGGCGATTGAATCCCCTAATCTCCAGCTGCCCTTTTAAAGAGGAAGTATGTAAGGTATTTTCTCCCTTCTTTCTGTATACCTGCGTGGTGTAACGGTAGTACACTCGGAGTGCATTCGAGAGGTTCAGGTTCGAGTCTCGGAGAGGGCATTGCACATTTTCCGTGTTTCCGTCTTCAAAAATCCTAATGACCCTACAATTAGAATAAAAGAGTGCAATTTGAAACTATGTTCTTAGGAAGATTTCGCGGCATTTATTTCGTATTATGAAAACCCCCTCCTTACAGATGGGCTAAAAAAGAAAACTCCCTGACTAAACTTAAATTTATGAGACAGCTCTCAGACACGGTATTCTCTTCATTGAATTATCATTTAAAAATAGGAAAATTTGTTGACGGATTCTATCAGATATACTCTCAAAAACTGTCATATTTTTACCATTATGTATAATTATTAACTATTTCTGTGATTAAATTTATTGCTCATCGAATTACAAACAAATGGAATGAAAAATAAACAAATGAACGGATTAAAAACAGTAATCTGCTTCTAATAAATAATTGAATCAAATGATATCATTTGATATCTGTATTTTTAATTAGAAGTAAGACTTTCGAAACATCTAATCTAATGAGTCTCGTTAAAGATTTGAGATAGCAATTTTGTATCCGAACATTTTCATTTATTGGAATGTTTCCATTTCTAACCTAAATAATTAATAAAAAATGGCAATTTAAAACTCTGAAAGATTAATTTTATTTACTTCCGGTAAAAAATGTTAACAAAATAATTGATTGTTGCATTTTCAATGCACTTGGATCAGCAATATCGTATGTGGCAAGAAATTGAGAATGAGAAAATGAATCACAATTTTTGTTTTTAATTAGGCACACTTATAACTAAAATTTCATTTGTGTTTTCTTGATAAATGCAGGCGTTATTTTAAAGTAATATTCTTGAAATTATTTCTTATTGCATAAAGATTTGAAATTTTGGTTTCAAATTAAAAACAAATAATTAAAGGCGTTTTTCTTTTCTTTTCTATTCTCCTCCCATCTCATATTGTTCTCTCTTGGAGGATTCGGATCTTAGTTCGGAAACATTCGAGAATATTTTAGAATTTGCTTTAGAACAGTTTTAAAATTCGAATACCTGTATGCAGCTCCCTCTAAGTGAAAACTCTTTCGAGAGTTTTTTTCTTCGTGAAAGAGGAAAGATCTTGTGGAAAAAAGTGACATAGCGACTAGGGAGAGGAAACTGAAGGACAAGTCTACTTATATTTTATAAAATTTGTCAAATCATCCTTATCATTTAAATGTTACTTATATTCACGGGATAAATTCAAGTTATTTACCAATTTGTTAACTTAAAAAGGAAAATGGGTTCATTGGCAACATTGCGTTTCCTATTTAGTTTTGGAAACAGTAAAAAGAGTTCTTTGGTTTGGTTTGAAAAACAAATGCTTGAGAAAAAAATGACGGAAAACAAATGGATGACAGAAACGTAAATAGTAAATTAATTAATTTCAAGCAGTGTCTCTTTTATTTAACAGCATCACCTGTCTATCTCTTTGTTCTATGTACCTCTTTATCTAATTTTTTATTCTTATTCTGTTCATATAAATGTGAATTCTCTGCCTATCTATTTGTCTATGTAATTGTGCATCCCTACTAGGATGAAGATCCAGCTGAAAGAACCATAACTCGGAGGACGAGTCCACACTTAAGCCCACTAATTTTAATCAATTGACAAAATGATTACCATATCTTGGATCCCGATATGAATTTAAAAGTGTAATTTGAAAATTACTTAGTATCAGCACATCTTTAATTTTAATATCAGAACTTTATATCTACTTCAAATATATTACTGAAATGTTTAGCCAGATAATTTTTAAAATTACATTATTCAGCTTTTCTTTATGTTGAAAATCTTAAACATCAGATTAAGAATTATCTACAATGGCCATATTTAGGAAATATCTATGTAATGTACTTAAAAAGAATTCAAAATTAAGCATCTTTCTACAATTTCTTTACTTAAAGGATTATAAATATATTGAATGCGTTTATTGTTTGATACACGCATTATCTTTGTGGCACGTATACTTACATTAATTTTCAAGTAAAATAACATTGCTAGAAATATGTCTCATATGAAATTAGAATGAATTAGAAATGAATGAAATTAGAAATATGTCTCATATTGCTAGAAATATGTCTTTTTATCTTTTCATTTTTAAATGCCTATCAGCGACAGAGCGGCAGTTCAACGAATGCTAATAATTCGACCTATGTTCGATTCTAGGAGAACAAGCTGGCTGTATCGCGTTTTTGTGACTTTCTCCATGTTTAAAATGGAAACTAGCTACTTTTCATTAAAATTTCCTACACGGAAGCATTCCTCGTCTTACGCAGATATCCCTCGCGTGCTTTGCCAAAACCAAATAAAGCAAGCCACATCTTTAAATGTCAGTTAGATTTATTTCTTAAGGTAAGCACTCCAGGACAATCTACCTTAAATGGCTGTATATTACATAAACATTGAATAATTTGCTATATTTTTACATTTTTAGACTTTATAGTTCATAATAATCATGAAAACCTCATACATCTGAATATTTTAATATTAAAAGAAAAAGAGTTTCAAAAAAACCACTGAATGATTATGCGTTTTCTCACATTACATATTAAAAAATCATAAAAATCTCAACAACTAAACAGATGGCAACAGAAATTCGGGATGAAATTACGCGTGGGTTTACCTATTCCAATACAGGAGAGGTTTTAATGTCCACCATACAGCACAGTAAGAATATTGCATTAGACTTAAATACTTTGTATTTTAACATAAAAATACAGTTTTTTAATACGAAATCTAAAATATTATTAAAATGCAGTGACATGTTTAATACTTATTCTTCTGTTCATTCTTAAACTGCTATGATTTGCTGATTTTTGTTTATTTTATCACTCTAATTTAATTTAAGTGAAATAATTCTTTGACGTTTTTTGAAAGTTAGAGTACAACTAATACATTTAGCATAACATTCTATTTCAGGCTGTTGCGTCCGCTCGTTTATGCGAAACCGAAAATGATTGTAGAGAGGGAGAATGCTGTGCTGCAATTTTAGGCATTCAGGTCTATAATAGAGGAATCTGTCTAAGGCTGAACAGAGAAGGTAAATATTCATATAAATTATATTTATATAAATCATATTTAGCGAAAAATTAAATATAAATCGCTTTGTGCTTCATTATTTTATGTATCGTTACATATCTTTCAAAGGTTCTGCATCTATTAAAATTATATTTAAGGAATTTGTTTAAAATACTGTGCATGCAATGTCTTATCTTATTATAAATTCTGCATTTGCATTCATTTTCATCTTGATCATGTATAAAGTAGTAAACTTCAGTATAAGAACACGTTGTCCTTTAATATTCATGTAGTTATTTACCAAAAATGTAGTTATGAATTTTAATTAAAAATCCAAGGATTTTTGCAAACCCATTGCTTAATCATGCTTTTTTCTATAAAATGAAAGTGTTTTCATCCTGAAACTTTTAAGGGCTTTCAGTTACCTTTTGAAGCTGCAAAATTAATCGAAATTTAAACATATATACAAGAATATTTTAAAGATTTATTCGACAAAGTTTCATTTAAAACCAAGTTTTGACCGATCTCCCGGATCACAACTACGCAATGTAGATTTTAAGCAATAGTTTTTTGAAACTCAAAGCCCACCAGCGCCCGAGTGGTAAAGTCGCTGTACAATGGTAATTCTGTTTAAGCTTCTAATGCCGGCGAATGGGCTGACTGCATAGACGTTTTCGTGATTTTCCCCATATTAATCGTGTATCCGAGCCAGTTTCCCTTAGAAAATCCTTATCTTATCCAGTTAGCCCTAGTGCGCTTTACCTTAACTATACAAGCAATATAGTCGGCATTTCTGGAAGATTAAACTATATTTAAGCCTTTTTATGAAATTGTATTTTTGTCGTTATCAGTATCACAATACTTTTCCTGCTAAATCAGTACATATTTCCCCATCTTCTGCATACTTACTGCATTCATATCGATATTTATATATTACATTTTGCTATATGTTTATGAGTATACTGAGGTATCTCCTTCAACATGATACTTTGGATTATTTTACGTATTTTAGTGATTCTTGTGTACATATATGTATTTAAGTACAAAATTCCTGCGTCAATATATTTATTTGAACTAGTTAATGCATTTTAGCAGTGAGTCCACAGATACGTATAATTACTACTAATATCTGTAACAGAGTTCGTATCTGTATATTTCTATTAGGGATTCAAGCATCAGCATTTGAATTAGCTTATGTACTTTTAAAAGTGCATGTGTATACACATGTAATACAAAGTTATAGCGTGTGTAACAGAAACTGAATATCTGTATATCTGTATTACGAGCGTCTGCAGCAACATATTCATTCCAACTAGTTATTATAGATATACATGTAATTATTTGCAATATCTGTAACAGAATTCACATCTGTACATTTGCGCATACACATGTATTAAGTACAAATTTATGAAATACTCGAGTCTGTAACAGAAACTGAGTATCTGTACATTTGTATCAGGAGTGTTTGCATGAACGCATTTATTCGAACCAGTTAATTTAATAGTGATTAATATTTTAATAGTGTGAATTTAATAGTTAATTTAATATTTTAATAGTGATTAGATATATGCATGTAATTATGTGTAATATCTGTAACAGAATTCGGTATCTATGATTTTTAATTTGTATCAGTGATGTCCATATAAACATATTTAAGAATAGTGTAATACTTTTGAAAGAGTATGTGCATACTATAAATGTATTTATGTACAAATTTATAGTACGTGTGATAGAAATTTGGTAACACGAAGAATTTCTCTTTTGAATGAGTAATCGGTTTGCACGCAGAAATAATACTAGCCAGCACATTGCCCCCATTCCCTCTTCAAATCTTTACTCTCTTTACAGTTATCTTCCAATTTTTAATTCCTCCATTCGTTTTCTCTTGCAAAGACCGTCTTTGAAGAACATGATCTAAGAACATAAGGAATAATTATAATTGCAATAGAACTTAAACAAGCCGACAAGCAACTCGCCCTGCCGGCGGAGAAAAGAAAGAAAAGGAAAGCTGAGATTTATTTTTCCATTCCAGGTAGGAGATGCAGGGAACCTGAATCCAAATTGGAGTATTTCGGCGGAAAATTCATGGGATACTGTCCTTGCCAAGAAGGTCTGTCTTGTGAACCCAACCCACCAAGAGGAAATAGAGATGTAAGTAAACTTTGTAGGAACATAGTAGTTAGTAGGTTCTAAACTAGAACTTAGCAGGTTCTAAGTTAAAAATATCGTTTTGCCAGAAAATAAGTTTGCAACCCATACAAAAAGAATACAAATTTCTGAAGTTGATTTACAAGGAGGGCAAAAAAGAAAATGAAATTCCATGTAATATAAATTTACAGATGCTAGCTTAATATTGTTAAAGTTATTTTTTCAGATAAAAGTCTTTAACAGTTTACATACCATAATATCTAGGCAAAGCCAAGTCAATGCATTTTCTAGCACACAGTTAAATTTCTTATTAAAACGTATTAGTGCAGACTAATTGTTAGATTTGAACGAAATAATTTATTATACACAAGAGAGAAAAATAAAGATAATAATTACTTTGTAAATAGTACGAGCTTTATACTTTGATATTTAAATTAACAAATGTTTGAAAATTGAATTTGTCTTCTTCATGAGCGATGTTCCTACAAGTTAACCTTTTGAAGACGGGATTGCCATTATAGTGGCCATAGAGTCCTTTCTCTCTTTGAAACGACGGGGTTGTCCACTTTAGTGGCCATATCTTTTTCCCCCATTTTCCAGGCTGAAAAGTGGGGTGAAATGTCAAATTTCACGTCCTGGGGTTTTAAACACTTATCTCTTTCAAAGTCTTCCTTTTGCGACATAGATGCACCCCTCTGAGAATCCATTAAACTACACATAAGAATCTTTGTTGCAAATAGGAGGTGATTTCTTAAAAGGGGGAAAGCATTCTGTTCAAGATTTCCCGTCCTTTGGTAGCTTTTACTGCTACCAAAGCTCCGACCTCAAAAGGTTAATTGCATTAGGAATCGGGAATTAATTTCTTTCATGTATTTTTCAATTATTATTAAGCTGATTTCTTAATTTGATTTTTTTCTAGTATATAATTTGTCATTTACTTTAATTTTTATCACATGAGAGAAACTCGTTGGTAAAAAGATCTTTAACCTAACAAAAATATAGTTATTAAAATAGCCTTAAAAGACAGAATAAATTTAATTCAGAGGGATATCGTTTAAAAATGAAAATATCCGTAAGCCATTTAAAAAAGAAATAATTAAAAAAAAGGCCTTTTCTATAAGTGTATTATATGCAAGTTTTGAAAGGAAAATGTCACAAAAAATGAAACTACACCAAGCTCTTAAAAGAACTAGAAGATTATTTATTAATAGCAAAACAACTTCGACAGATTTTATAAAGCAAGTTAGTTTTCAGTGGGTTTAGAAATATCAGCTGCCGCATTAATGAGAAGAACATAGTTTAACGTCTTTGCTCCCGACGTCGAGCGAACGAAATCCTCTACCCCGTGTCCAATGATTTTGGAGAGCCGAACATCACTGCCCATCGAGCGCCTTCTTCTATTAAGTTTAATATGAGAAAATTATTCACATAAAACCTGTTTTTTCTCCAAATATTTGGATTCTTCGTATGTCATTTAAATGCTATTTCTTATAATATAAACAGAAAATCATAATACTTAGAATTAAAATAAGAATTTAGAATAAATTAAACTATATTTTTAGTAATAATGATTATATTCCTAAATCTAAATTATGTCTTTATAATCATGAAGTAAAAATCTTACCTACAAAACGTGAAGCATTTCTAAATTACGAATGGCACATGATAGTATCGCGAGTTTCGTAGAATAAAATAATAAATAATATTCATTATAGCAACTCTAACACTATAGATTCTATTCAGTATGTATTTGGAGAATTCTGATATAATTTCAGCGCATTTAAAAAAATCGGAAATAAATCATTCCGTTTCAGTTTATCAAATATTACAAGGCCATCAGTGACACTTCGCTCCCATATCACATTTGATCCAGTAGGCTCACGGAGGGAACGTGAGCCGTATCATAAATCATACGTGCGAAGCAAGGAGATTAATAACACATTAAAGCTTGTATGAGCAGATAAAAGGTCATATGAACCTGCTATGTTTAAAATACGACACATATATTTTGAAGACATTAAAAACAGGATACTTCAGAAATGAAATAAAGTATGTAAAAATCTAAACGCTTTCAGATTTTATATTACGCTCAAACGAGCGTTGTTTTCATTTGCAGACACTTATACGTTTCGAGAGTATTTGGGCTAAAAGTATTTAAAAACAGCATGCTTCGAATTTCTGACTCAAACAGTCCTAAATTATTGCCACTGATCATTTGGAAATTATTGAGTCTTTTGAACAAAAATTCGCTTAAGTTTTACAAAATGTGAAATAGACAATAAAACAGTTTCGAAATTCCAAATTCGGGCTTCCAGGTCTCCATGTTCGGGTGAAGTATTATGTTATTCAAAATTTGATGGCTCTAGGTATCGTTGTTTTCTCACAAGGCTAGAAACATTCATGCATTCGCGTAGATTCTTCATTATTTAATTTTTTAAATGTAATATAGGGTGATAACATTTGATGGCAACAATTTGAAAAGTGATACAATGCATTTAAGCGATTCACTAACAGCCGTTCTGAGACTAACAGCCCTTCTGAGGTAACGTCCTTTTGAGAAAAAAAACTTTCACTGGTACTTTACTACACCTGAATGCAGACATAGATCCATCCCTCTTGCATTTGATTGTGTTTAGGTAAGTTTTAATAGTGAAAGATATTGCATAAAAATATTGAAAGATGTTTACAAATGACCAAAAATGTCGTAAAAGTAAAATGCCGTGGCAATGGTGTTAAAAAACCTCCAATCTGTAAGTGAATGGTTGCTTAAACATATTAAGATGCTTAATAGAGCAAATGATTTCTATACAGAATCTAAAATTACTATGATGAGGTACATTGCGCAAAAAAAAGACAACAGTTCTATATTTCCCGATCTATTGGGCCCGTTGACGAAATTCAAACTGCGTTTTTCATGTCTCGAAAGCACGACTTCGGATATGTATTAGATTTATATATAGTCTTTTTTTAATATAGGTACTTTGACACAAAATCGGACTTTTTCTGAAATAACATGCCAATTTTTTTCCATATTTCGATTGTACGACTCAAATTATGGCAAACTGCCACGTTGTGTAAAAATAGCGGAAGTAGTTTAAAAAAAATAGCTCTCAAAATTTTAGTTCCTCAATATAAATTGAATCTGATATATATTTATCAATATTTCTTTTGTATTAAACTTACTCGATTGATTCTTCCAGAATTCGAAATTTAGGCTTAATCCAAATAGAATTCGCACATTTTTAATTATTTATTATTAATATTTGCATTTTTAAATACTTTTTTATAAATGTATCGAAAAAAAATTGTATTATAACCTACAAAAGTTTTAACATCATCTTAATGTATTTCTAGGCACACCTGCAAAAAATTAAAGTTTTTATTCAAAATTCAAAGATATTCATGAATTTACATATTGGAGCAATTTGAAATTTCGCACATTTTTTCTTGAACGATAATAACGCCAAACGATAATACGCACCTTGTTAAAATTATTTGAAAGTATGAAGGACGTCTTTTTTCCGCACGTTTTACAATGAAAAAAAGAAAGCGAAAATGGGTTGCTACGAATTAAGAAGTTCTCCAAGTAAATTATTTTTGTGGAAAACTGAACAAAATACGCCGAAATAAATTTTTGAATTTCTCCGTAAATTTCACACACAGACATTACACCTGGTATGATGGTGTGGAGTTCCATCTTTTACGGCATCAGGTCAACTGTAGTCGTCTTGCATAAGACTTTAACAGCTCAACGATATGTTGATGACATGCTGTGGCCGTTTGCGTTACCCTTCATGGCACGGCATCTTGAGGACAATTCCCTTAATTCCATATGGCTCGCACATTTCTATACTCTCTTACAACTGGCTTGTGATGAGTTATTGTACTGTCCAGACTGACTCTCTCACAACTGTTGACATTCCTCCTCGGCCAGCACGGACATCAGGCCTTTCGCCAATCGAACATGAATCTGATGTGGTAGGCTGCCATATCCCCGCACGTGAAAATTTCGCAGATCTAGAGCAAGAATTGAGAAATGCCTGGCAGAATGTATCGCAGGATGAGCTTAGGAAACTCTATCACCCCTTATCACAATGTTTACAAGCATGCTACAGGCGGGTTCGCCAATTACGGATTTGGACGTTCAACGTGCAACTGAACGCCTCTAATGGGTTCAATGGCCTTGAATTTATAATCATTTTATTACCTGCGCATGAGCTGTTCAAATAAGTAATTTCATACCTGAGGATTCTCTCTCTCTCTCTTTTTTTTTTTAAAGTTCAAAGGGGCAACTTGCCCAGAAGGACTATTAATTTCGCTTTGACATTTGACGTTGTTTCACTTTTCAGATTGTTGTCACCAAATATTATCGCCCTGTATTATATTTCAATAAATTAAATAATGAAGAATCTGCATGAATGTATGTATGTATGTTTCTCGTATTGTGATAAAACAATAGTCCCTAGAGCCATCAAATTTGAACAACGTAATTCTGCTGCGAATATGGGATCTGGAAGCCCAAATTTGAAATTTGGAGTTTGTTTTATTACCGATTTCATAATTTGTAAACTTTACGAATTTTTGATGAACAAACTTAAGGATTTCAAAGAAGCAATGGCAAATTTGTACAGAAAAGAAAATTTTTATCTCCACAGCACGAGACTGTGTATCGGAAATTCTAAAGATATGCTCATTTTACAATTATTTTGCGATATTGCTCTTGAATTGAATTTTATGGTTAATTGCGAAGAATATGATATTTAATAAATAATGGTAACCCACAAAATGTTAAAAACCGCCGCTTTGGTCGTATTTTAAAATCTTGTAGAGACATTAGGTATTTTTCTGGAAGCAGGCAAGATGAAAAATATGCAACGCCTTCGCCAGGAATCAATTACGCGCTAAGCGTGCAGATCACTAGACCACGAAAGTTCGATAAGAAGGCGGGAGAAATACCTTATAATCTGATTTCATATTTTTTTTCAAAGTAGTGTTACAATAATTATGCATATCTTCCTCAGTTTTGCACATAATAGCATTTGACGAATTTAATTATTTAACATCTTATAGTATGTTGAACATTTTACTAACTGAACATGTTTTTATACTGGGAGCACATTAAACTAAATTTTGTGTTCACTAAACCGCTTTACACTCTCTGTTTAAATTGTTCTCATAAAGTTATCAACTTGAGAAACGTTGCAACTGGAACTACACATCATCATTATTTCCTGCTATATGTTTATCCGCTTTTTGTTGCATCAAAAGAGATGTTTCAGCTTAATTTGTGAATCTCAAATGTTATTGAAATTACATTCTAATACCACTGGATGCGGGGTGCATGATGGGATTGCATTATATACTTTTAGGAAGCTTCAAGATGCTCATCTGCTAAGGAGAACTAAACCGTTTCACTCTGACCTCTTATAGGACTTATAAATATGAATTCTTTAGGGATATTTAGTATATGAAGGCATTACCAATTGACCTAAGGCACATCGCTGCTGTCTTTCATACTTTTACTTGTAAATGTCTATAGGTTTACATGTATGTTTATGAAAACTATACTTTTCTTTTAGCCACCAAGATTTCGATTAACATTTACATGTCAGGGAACAACTTCCACTTCCAGTCCAGGAACAACATCCACCATCAGTCCAGGAACAACATCCACAACCAGTCCAGGAACAACTTCCACTACCAATCTAGAAACAACAGCACCTACGACGGGAACAAGCACTACCGAAATACCAACAACGGATTGAGAAACAACATGTGGAGAAATAATATTTTAAGATTAATGCTTCGTAATACCAGCTAGAGACACCAATTAATAGAATCGGGCACGGCGGTGAAAGAGAAAGAGCTACTCATGGAAATGGACCTAAACTATAAATTTCTTTATGGAAATAGCCAAAAGGGAACGATTCTTGTGCTGCAAAATTAATATCTCTTCTCTTGGATATAACTCTTAAAATGAAATAGAACTTATGATGAATTGTAGTAATGAATTCAAATTCGAAATTATCGAAAATGATAAACTAAGAAAGCAAACTAGCTAATGTGTTATTTCATTATTTACACAACTTTGCAAAACATATTATTTTTCCTTGGGGTGTGTTGTTGCATATAATGTCTTATAAAACTCCCTATGGATCCAGTAACATATTAATTATTTTAACCTGTCTTCATAGAATGCGAATTAGTTATTAGCATGATGCGAAAATAAACACTTAATGGGATGAAATATGCATGTAATACATACATGTGTGCAGTAGGGGAATAGAGCAGGTTTTCAGTGGATTGGCATAAGCAATTTCGAGTATATTCTCGTTTCATGGAAACATTTTGTAGAGTTATTAGATTATTTGGAAGAAGGAGAAGTGAAAAATGCGCAGTGAGCTCGCCGGGACTCGAATTTGGACTTCTCGAATACACGCCTCGTGCTACCGTTACATTATGAAGGCACGCTCGAAGGAGGGAGATACTCCCACTTTTAAAGGGCGACTGCGAATAGAAGACCTATCCTAGTGAAAGAGTTATTGTTTACCACCTCTTAGTTCGAGCACTATTTGTAGAGTCATTAGGTTATTTTTTTGAACCAGGAACGTGAAAAATGTGCAGTGCCATCGCGGGAATCGAACCTTGAATTTCGAATACGCGCTGTGTGTGATACCGTCACACCACGAAAGCATGCAGAAAGGAGAGATAAAATATCTTATAAGTTATTAAAACTAAATCAAAAATATTTATAGCTAATTTAATAATTTATAAAGAAGCAAACCGATCCTGAAAACGTTTGAATGCCATCACTGTAAGATTGTGTTAGAAACGTCTTTTAGGAATTACATTATTAGCGTAAATATTCACAAAAATTAGCTTTTAGATATAATGAAAGTACGTGAATTATTTCTAATATAAATTACATATGTTAAAGATGTCATTAAAAAACCAAAATAAACAAACATGCTATGAAGAAGTGTGTACAATGCTTTTAAGACACTTAAATAAACAATGTACTATTTCAATTCGAAAGATAATTTTATGAGGAAATCAAATGACTTAATACCAGGCAAGAAATCCATGGCATCAGAAACAATGTTACAAATGCTCATTAGAAATATCTTTTAGGTACATAATTAAATATTGAATATAATTATTATACATTTAGATATTAAATATATTTACAATTGCATCGAATATTTAAGGTATCGAAAAAATCAGCTAAAGATGCACCATGAGGTTTATTGTTTATAAACGTAAATGTTAAAAAGTAATTAAATAGGAAAAATGTATTTAAAAGCTTATATTTTGTGTACATTGTATATACAATCTTATATTTGTGTGTTTTTAAAAAGTTTCATTCGTTAAATTTTTATTTAAATAAACAACGTCTTTATATCTTTATTAAGACAGCGTATAGAAAGATGGTACTAAAACTATGTGAACTAAGCTATCAATAGCAAAATAGGTCAGTAGGATTAGGATGAATTCAGACTTAGCCTTTTGTCACCCTGTAGTCTACAGAACAGGATTCCAAAAGCTTTAAACAGGAACCATGTGTATCTACTAACAAAGATAGAATGCTCTGATGCATCAGCTATTAGAAATCACGATATTTGTAAGAAGCTAAATAATGACGTAAACATCTATGCAACGCAAAACACTGGCAGGGCAGAGAATAAATCATAGTGGAGTTATCGAACAGTTTCTGGGTAGCTACACCTGAAAACGTGTGCTTCTCTAAAGTGTGTGCATACGAAAATTTACGATGAAACTTTCCTTGTTCTATTGAAAATCATTATCAAAAACAAATCACTGCAAATCATTTGTTCCGTGTATTTTGTATAAAACACTAAACATCTTTTTGATGAACTGTAACGCTTTACCCTCAAGATCAGGATTAGCCGTAGTACTGGTAGCTTACTGAAAAGATTAAATCAAAGGTTTCTTTTGCAAAGCTGGCAATCAATGAGTGAATGACAGTTTGTCAGGATGGTGAATGATAAAGTCTGTGATTACATAATGTATTGGCATGAATGTAACATGAATCGTCTGAAGTAAAGTTTGAACTATACATGATTTTGGTAACGTACAGAAAAAATTAAATCACAGTTTTCTTGTGTAAAGTTGGCAATAGGTGAGTGAATGACAGTCTCTCAGGATGGTGGATGATAGAGTCTGTGATTACATATTAGCATGAATGTGAAATGACTCGAAAAAAGATAAGTGTGAACTACGCATTATTTTAGCATTAAAATGCTGTACAGGAACTTAATGTGTGCCATAACACACTTTTTAAACTGTTATTTACATATAGGCTGACTGTAGCAAATAATAATTTAAGATTAAAATTAAATAAATGAACATAAAAAATAGAAGCATAATTAACATGCAGCTTAATTTTTATAATCTAAAATTTTCATTTGTTATGTTATTCATAATTTTCTTTAAATAAACAACGTCTCTATATGTTTATTAAGACAGCAGCCTATATTTCAACATTTTACAAAAATAAATACGTTGTTCTTAGTAAATATTTTCGAAATGTTAACTCAGGAAAAATTTTAGATATTTCTAGCCTGTTGTCACTCTTATTTCATTTATCTTTTCACGAAAGAGCAGTATTAAAATTCAGCAGTAAAGCTGTATTAAAATATAATTAGTTAAATACGCGGAATGAAACTACCCCTTTATAAAAAACCTTTCCTACTTTATTTTGAAGTATCCTTACCTAAATATTCATCTACGCAACATAGCTAATTAACCATCTACGCAAACGGACACGATATCAAGTGTGCCTGTCAACCTCTTAGCATAGTGATAGCATAGCCGGCTGTCATAGACTCGGATTCGAACTCTAGAGATGGCATGGATGTTTGTGATTGTATCGTGTATTTGCTGCATGACAGCACTTAAAATACTGTACAGCCGAAATCCTTTCGAGAGGCTGCCAAAAGAGGACGAGAGGTGGAGGAATTACAGCTGATTCTAGAAAATGTCTTTGGGTCACCTATAGGGCGTGGAAGGCATAAGCCAACAACAGGTGCAACTCTAGTTTCTTGGCTATAACAGAATTGAAGGACTTGATCTGATTTTACCTCAGAACACTAATCAGTGCTTCTAAACTACAGTACTCTGATTTTGCGTGATTATTAGTTAGACATATTTTCAGAATATGTTTATCTTTGCATAATATTGGCATGCTTGAAGTTTTCGCATAGACGTTAGAGAGGTTATACTATCACCCACAGTCTTTTGAAATACGATTGAATGCCTGTCATTCGAGGCTGGCACTTCAATAGACAGGAGAGTCTCATTTATTTGAAATAATGCGTCCAGGGTATACTTAAATTCTATCATCAATCTGAAGACGTTGAATGGCAAAAGCTCCATATATTCCAGCAATTGCACACTGTTTTTAATTTTAACATAATAAAACAAATTATCGAGTGGTAGAGAGATTTCATAAAATAAGATAAATGACCAAGAAGCTACTAAGCCAAAAAACAAGGTCTTAACTCACAAAGCGAATGATGATGTTCTGGTAATACTGAACTTTCCAAGGTAAACTTAGAACTGATTTTGTTGTATAACGTTCATATGTTTCCCTTTGAAATTAATGAATATCATATTTTTTTAGAATATATTGTTTTGCGTATGCAGTAATTATAACTATGGTAACTTAAATGATTTGATCATATGAAACGGTGACAATTTTACTAAGACCATTCTCCAAGAGAATATAAAATAATCTCAAGAGGAGATTTAATTTGAGGGCATAGCCTGCCGCATTTTTTAAGTTTCTCTCCTGTTTCGGATGTTACGGGAGAGAAAACGTTTCGTGATGATCTATAGCGAAAACTGATTATGCAGAATACTGCAGTGTCTACCACGGTTTCGTATCCATTTGGACGATTTGATGAACGCACTATTTAGAAAGTGACGTTTAAACTGTGAAATTCATTATAGAATTCGTTTTCAAGGGTACATTGACGTGATTTACGAGCTCAGGCATAATGATTATGTTTGATTTATAGAGAATAACACAATCTAATAGTTTTTCATTAATCTCAAGGAATATTGCGTTCCACGTTTCCCCATCGTTCGTTCGTTCACTGCTTTCGTGAAACGGAATTATCTCCTGTTAATGTAAACCGACGTAAATCATGTAAATCGACACTTATGACTCGACTTCGGACGAAATGTTGTTATACACCTTGATGTTGAACATCACATTTCCTTGCTACATGTCATCGTAACGTTTTTCTCTCCCGTAATATCCGTCAGAGTCAAGACTATATTGAAAAAAGATTGGATCTTTCATATCATACAGAAGGGAATTTCAGCTGTTGCTTGGATATTATGTAATGTGACAACAATTTAATCTTTGTAAATAAGAAAAAATGCTATTATCAAAACACGAAATTATTTTTCAATATAGACACTAACTAATCCCTGAGCATTAATAAATGAAATAAATTACGAAAAAATCACAGAACAAATAATCTGACATTTTACACTCGATGAAAATCTTTCTAACCCTATGTGAAAACAACACGTGGAAATTAAATGCCTCTCCGTTTCAGCATTCGGTTTGTATTAACCAACATATTTCACTTTCCAATGTTCTCAATTGTAATATTCAATTATTTCAATAACCGCCTAAGTCTATAATTAATAACGAAAGCGTTGCTTCTGGAAAGTACCAGCAATTACAAAGATAATCAGCTCGCTGCGAACAAATTTAATTTTTGCTAAGAAAACTGATATGTAATAATAATAATAATGGTCTGCCTCAATTAGAGTTAAACTAATATCTTAAAGATAAGTGGAAGTGAAAGTAGTGAATCTCGTCAGCTCGAAAGCTTTCTTAATTACGCTTGATAATTAACAGAGTGGTATGTGTCTGTTCTGAACATTTCGTGTAGAAGTGTTATAACAGTTTTTGAACTGAACGAATAAGATTGCCAATGTTCTATTGTACACTAAGCGTTCTCTTTTAGTATTTAATTCAAACTAAATATTTCGAACTACAGAATGAAGAAAAGTAGTTT